AACGACAAAATATCTTTTACTCCTTGAAAAACTGTGTACAAAAACGTCTCCGTGCACATTTCTGTCTTTTTGCCGTGCACCTTTCTGTAACCGTGCACAAAAATATCAAAAGATTTTTTAGTGCACGAAAAATAGCAAACCGTGCACAATTCCGGAAAAAACCGCGCACAAAAAACATTTTTCCCGGTATTTTAGCCATTTGTCTTCGTATGTCTTAATTATGCACGTTTTGAAAAAGTTAATTATCAAATATTCGTCACATCATTTTACTATCTATGGAATGAGTCGATATTTAAAATCTTATAATCAAAAAGGTAACCATAAATCAACTGTTGTTTAACGAACAACTTCATGGGGAGTAAGTGGCCTGTTGATTATATCAGACATATGACAGGTACCCAAGCAAAAATGACCCAAATTTTTAGGTTATTTATCTAGATTCAGCTCCATGTACATCTAGATGCACGAGGATCTGAATCTAGATAAATAACCCAAAAAATTGGGTCATTTTTGCTTGGATAAAAACTAACTTTGTTCGTAAATGAAGTTTTTTACGCGTTTTTTAGACTTTAACAAGCTCTTGAAATGGAAACAACTGAAGTATAATTTTATATTGCTATATTGCAAATGAAAACCGTTATGCATCTACTACTAATCAGAATATGCATATTTCTTTGAATATAGAAAATAGGTGATCTTTGCGATAAGGTCTCAATGCTTGATATATCTTTACATGTGACCATAGATTTATATGAAATGAGTTCAACTCGATATTGATTTATGTACAACAATGACAAATGAGAGCTGTATAAACTGATGAGATAAAGTGCTGACTTTTTTTCCTTCGGGAAATATTTTGACGTCAATTATTATTGATCGCACCGCATATTATACATAAAAACATTGATCCAATTCCATAATTGATTTTTTCTTGTGGAAAGTAACAATCAACATCAAACTACACGTTGAATCCGTTAAAATCGTTTCAACATGTTCTCAAACTATAAAAAAAACGTAAGATCAACTAGAACAAAGAACACGAAAAAATGTCTCCAGGATGCGCCCGAAAAATCATAGTGTCGATCGATTTTTTTCAATTCTAATACCATTATTTGAAATCTACTTAACAAGTTTTATTGAACCATATACTTTTTAGAAAATGGCACAATAAGGATGCCAAATTCTCCATAGAATTGCTCACTGTTGAAAATTTAGCGAGATAGTGCGAAATGCAGAATTCTCTTTACCAATACACACTAAATACTTATCGTAAGTGTATAGGCTAAAATTTAGTCTATTGTTTTGCATCTAGTATAACTCGAAAATTGTATATTGGAAAAGAAAGAAGTTATAAACAGGTAAAAACCAAATTGTTGTCTGTAAACACTGTCTGAAGCAATGTATTGCGTCTTTTACAGAAATTGCTGTATATAATAGTGTGTTAGACGTGGAAAAATTACGCTATAGAAGAATGAACTAAGGAGTATTTGTTTCAGTCTGGTACGTCTTATGCTGTATTTTGGACTGATGTACTGGCTACATCATTGAAATATGCTGTTGAATGATTTTTGAATATTCTGTGTTTTCAAATCATTTTCTCAGTTATTTTTGTATTACGAGTGCCCTAGTGGAGGAACTTCTTGAATCAAGATCTTGTTGTATTTAGTAAGTAAGATCATGACGAAGATTCTGAGTGATTGCCATGCTATGACTGTCATAAATACAAAGAAAAGTTTTTACTTAGAAATTTAGAAAAGTTTTTACAAAATCTTAATATTTTTATTTATAAGATTTTGACTGAAAGAAAGATTCAAGAATCTAAGATTTTGACTTCCTGATGTTTTTTCCAAGATCTTGGATACAGCAAGTTCCACTAGAGCGATTTATTTCAGAGCCAATCTTATTATCTAAAAAAACTAAAATTCTAGGAAACAAGTTTCATGAGAAAACACACTTATGAATGTTTCGTTCTCACTTGGGCTATTTAATGACTTTATAGAAAAGTTTTGAAAGGACAGACGTTTATCATTGTACTTACATTCAATTTGATTTGGCTATACAATAAAATCAATTTTCTTTTTTAATCAAGTTTTTAGTAAGTGTTTTAAAACTGTCAGCAAACAAAGTACAAAAGAACGCGGTATTTACTGTACATCTAAAACTATGTATATACAGAAAAAAAGGTTTTCTGAAAGAAAAAACACAGACACAAAAAAATACACCACAATATTTCTGCACATATTTTATTTCATTTTGTGATAAAAACTAAATAAACAAAAAAGTTTTTAGGTAAACATGAATGATTCGAGCGGTTGACATCCTCAATACAATAAACTAAAAACAGATTGTTTTATGGTGAAAAACGCGTCAAAGCATCAGTTATTTTCTTCTATTCAAGTCTCAGAATATGGCTGATAATAAAATTTGTATTGAGTCTTCTAAACAGCTCAAAGGCCTACTTGACTTCCCGAGAACTTCTTTTGCCACTTCTCACGATTATAATGCTTGTAATCATAAAAAATAAAAATTGTTTAATAATGTGTTCGTCACATACCCGAAAATAAGGATATGTTTTCGTTGTACAGTAACACTTCTAATTCCAAAATAAAAATTAAAAAAAAATATGCACACTTGTACAAGTACAAAAAGCTGGTCGAAATTGAAAAAAATGAGTATTAGTATCCACCGTATCAGAAGAGAAACTAAAAAAAGTTATTTGTTGTTATGCACAAGTTGTTTACTATTACATGTGTGAAGTACTTATTTTTATTGGCGTAGAAAATTGCTGTTGCTGTCTTGATGGTCGAGTATTGTTGTTTAATTTATTTTGACGTGAATTGGAACTATTTGAACCCCTTGTTGCCGAGCGATTAGGACTTGTAGATGTTGGTAAATTTGTGGTTGTTGTTAGAATACTATCTTTTGCGGATGCAACAGGTCGAGTTATATGTGCTTCAATTGGTCGTCCACGTACAAAATCACCGGGTGGTAATGTACGAGCAGAAAATTTTAACACGTTAGATGTACGTAATTTATTATTTAAGTTTGTACTATTATTATTTGAAAGAGGAAATGTTTGTCCAAACGAAAGATTTGAACCGGTACTGGTTCCACTAACCGCACGGTCAATAATGGAATTACCACTATTATTATTATTTGATATGAGCGTGATTGTTCCTACATTCATATTGTTATTCGTGCTATTTATTAAAGATGGATTTGAACGATGTAATAGTAGCTGTTCAGACGTCAAATTTACTTTTAATGGTTCAACAGTAATCGGCGGTAAACGCATATCGTTAGTAAGTGTAGCTGAACGATATCTTGAAGAATTAGATGCTGCAGAAGGCCAGGCACGATGATTTGCAACATTACTGCCACTATTATTACTACTAGACGTATTCAAAGTGGCGATCGTTGTGACTGATGATGGTACATTGCTAGAGGATAAAGTGCCAGTGAGAGCGGTTGTTGACGATGATGATGGATTATTGGAAATATTTAACGAAATGAGATTGTTTCCAATATTAATAACCGAACCACTATTGCCAGCCAGAGACCCAACGGCTGTTCCAATCATGGAGATTAAATTAATTTGTGGTTGACGTTTTTCGATAGCTGATGATGTTAAAATTCTTTCAGGTGGTTTTCGAGGAGATGTTGTAGAATTTGTTGACGTGGCTGTTGTGTTTGTTGTAGGCGGAGTCGACTGATAAACATTTGAAAGACGACAAGGTGTTACTCTTAAGAGACCGGTTAAACTGATGTCAGATGGATCAGGTGTCAAACGTAAACCTTTAATTAAATCCTGAGTATTTGACAATACGATACTATTATTATTCATTAGTGTTGTAGTTGTTATCGAAGTGGATGTTGGTAACGATAAACGATTTTGTGATAATGATCTAGGTGGTAAGGAATAGGGTCTTAAAGGTCGTGGTAGACGGTCGATGGTGGTTGTTGATATTCCAGATGACGGGGTTAATAATGTGCCATTTTTTTGACAAACTAGTTTGGCGTAACGGTTTAATAATGGTTGATAATCGTTGAAAAATTGTTTTAATATTAAATTAGCTAATGTTGATACAATACTGTCTTTCAAACATTTAATTGGAGGGGCGGCTGATGGAGGAGGCTTCAATTGCTGTTGTTTACGTCGCTGATGCTTTAGATTACGATTGGATAATTGTGAACTATCTTCGTCATCATCACCATTCGTACTAAATGAATTGCTTTTAATGTCATCCGCAAACTGATCTTTATTATTGACATCTTCATCATCTTGATCATCCAGATCAGAATTTGTCAGTTCTGAACCTTCTATAGAATCAATAGATGACCGACCATCATCCAAATTTGACAGATCCTAAAACAGAGATAGAAAGAATAAAAATAGTAAACTTTCTGTGTACAAATAGAAAGTTTTGTGAAGAAAAAATGGAAAAAAATTCTTTATCTGATCCGAACAGATATTTCGACATACATTCAAATCGTTAACTGAGAATTTTGCTGATATGTCAGACAGCGGAGTTGACATATTTTCTTTATTATATTCGGTATCAATCTTGTCTTGAGACTGCTTCCGTAGTCGTTGTTGTTGTAGTTGTACTTGTAGGGGTATTGTCTCGATTTCACACATTTTTCCACGTATACGAAAATGAGGTTTAGCCGACCATTCATCATAGATTTTTCTATAAGACGTTCTTTTAGGTAGAAGTTCATCTAAAACAAGTCAACCTGCATAAATGAGCATACTCGTAATCATATGTAAAAACTATCTTACCGAACAAAACGGCATCTATTTCATCGAATTCTCGTCGTGATCGGCCAGATGTTTCACGCGCATCATCATCATCCGACAACAAACTTGAACCACTGACCGATTGACCGCTACACATTTCTAAAATTAAGAAATAGCTAGGCTTAGTCGCAATAAATTTGTTACAAAAAAGAAAATATCTGCATACATTTTCGTATTTTCACCATATAATTGCTAAATATAAAAAATTTAATTGATAATTCTTCTTAAAAGTGTGGTATGGACATGCTGATGTGTAATGTTAATTATGTATCGTATTCGCTGAGATCTACATTAGAAAACAATGAATTAAAATACAGTGATTGATCGTAAAACTGTTTCTTTTCCAGCAAATAATTTAATCGCGAAGAGAAACGCTTATATTTGTTATCTAACGAAGTCTAAAATTATGGTGAGTTCGAAATTATGAACTTTTTCGTTCTCTATTGTATCAGAAACAATCGGAAGCGGAACATTTAGTCTTCCTATATTCTTGCTGGACCCGAATGATAGGAGCTGGAAGTGTTACCAAAAACACAATAAAGTATCTGTAATAATATGTATAAAAAGTTGTCGATAACGATGATTGATCAGTTGCCGAAGATCAAAACATTCTGGCTAGTTAAACCAGTATGGTAGCAAATACTTTTAGAAAGAATCTCATTTCGTAATTTCGTAATTTCGTAAAACATACTGTGCATAAGAATATTGCATTTGTCGAAGGAAATAACTATTAAGAATTATTGATAGCCAAACAGGCACGCAACTCGTTAGTAATTATACAAATTCAAAAAATCATTTTACTCAAGGATCCGAAAACAACACTCAAGAAAATGTTTCATGGGATAGCAAAAAAATTGAAACACAAACCACTAGCGCATATATTACGTGTTTTTCTTAGTTTTAAGTTAAATAACTAATTGATTCACAAAACATAAAGAATTCGATGTTGTTTTTTTGACAATCAGTCAGTATACTTCTTGAGGATTATTTACTTATCGGGAAATTGAAGAAAGGAAAAAAATTTCATTAGTTTTTTTCGTAGCATGCGATGCATCATTATATCGGAAACTATGTGCAACCATGCTGTTATTCTATTTGCCAATATTGCTAAGCTGTGAATATGATGATAATGGTAAACTAATACTGAATGTAAACATTATAAATGTGAATAAAGTTATTGAGGACATAATTGATATTTCAGTTATTACCAATAAAAGGTAGTATTGTCCATGCTGATTAGATGTCGTTGTGATACAGTGTTTTTCTTAATTATCCACAAGAGGCGGCATTGGTTGTAAATAAATTGTAAAAGCAAAATAGAAGTGTTGTTCTATTTATGTGATACGCGTTTCTGATTACCGCCTTTTGTCATTGACTATATACCGCTTTCTCGTATATTGAAAACGAAATGAGAACAATTAGAGAGTATTATGAATCGTCATTCACTTCTCATAGCATTTCTGTATGATACATCCACCACTGACTGATCCAAAACTACCCAGGAGAAAAAAGACGGGCAATAAACTGCTCATTAACTGCCAGTTTACAGTATGCCTAAAAACTGCCAGTTGACAACCTGTTAACTGTCTAAAAACCATCTAAAAACTGTCTAGTTTATTGGCCGTTTTTACGTCTACAAAAATACCGTCTAGTAACTGCCAGTAATCGGAAAAGCCAAAAAAAAGCTAGTTAACTGTGTCGTTAACGGCCCATATACTGATAGTTAACTGGCTGCTTTTTGATCTTACCGTTTACTGGTCGTTTTTACACAGTAGTTTTTTAAGACCTAAAAACAGCCAACAAATCAGACAGTTTATTATTGTAAACTGACAGTTTATAGACCATTTCTTTTCTGTGGTAGTGAGTGGCCATGGGCTCGCTATATTTTTGTTTTTGAAAGAAGCCAGTTAACTAGCTGTGAGTAGGTCGTTAAACGAAGCAGCTGAATTTTCACTTCTGAAGATTCTGAAGTTCTGAAGATTAGAAATCAAAGGTAAACGCATTTATCAGTTTGTTATATATGGAAAATCGGCTCAGTGCCAAAGTCTTTCCTTGAAAACAGTTCGGAAAGATTTTAAACGAGAAAAAGGTCCATTTCTGAGAATCTGCCTTTTTTTGCACTTAAAAAATTTATATAGAACAGTTAGAAAGAACTCGAAAGTTGATTTTATTAATGTAGATTACGTCCAAAAATACTGTACCCGGAAAGCTCATCATTGAAAACCTATAAAACCGCGATTTTTGTTTGATGCATTTAGTATATTTTAAAGGATTCGGTTCTTTTCCGTTTTTTCTCTTTAATTGCCATATTTTACAGAAATACTGACAGTCAAGGTTAGCTCAGTGCTTTCTAAAAATGAACGTATTTTAAAAAACTTCGTCCATTTCGTCCTGTCCACGAAACTGACTTTGGTATTTTCAAACATATCATATGTTTGAAAATATTAAGTAGAATTATTTCTTTTCCGTTCGTATTTTACTAAATCATTTTGATTTAGTACCAGCAATTTAAAAAGAACACAGTGTTTAGGGATCATCTTTGCAGGATGTCTGGGAAAGAAAATGAGTAGCAAAATTTCTAAACAAGCTTTTCTCCAAAATTCTTGAAAGTTTAAGTTCAGTCCAGTTCGGGTCGTTGAATTCAAAAAATTTTCATTCCATACGGAGCTCTGACTCTATGATATATTATCTATATTCTGTAAGTTTCATTATCCGTAGACGACTTTTTTTGTGTTATCAAAGTTAACTGATTTCTCGTCACATCTATCTCTGAACTGCAGAAAAAGTTCGCTTAGCTTTTCTTTCTCTGGATCAGTAGGTGTTTCATGTCATCTCTTTCAATATTTTCTCTCGTGATTAAAAAGAAATTTTTTACCCTTCTCGATTATGATTGACTTATCCATGGAATATCTGACAGCCATTTTTGCGTATTTTGCCTACAGACAGACAGCCATTTTGTAAGAACCTAAACTAAAGTCAAGAGACAAAGTATTTTAGAAGAACGGGAAGAAGGCAGATGTTTTTGATCGTGAGTCTTCTTTCACAAGGCTTACCATTGAAATGATTTAGCTAAAGAGAATAAAACGAAGGAATCATTCACATTAATCGCTTAGAGTTTGATAAAGTGAGCTCGTTAAAGGCAAGGTTTTTACGTGATGTAAACAAAGAAAAAATTGTTGAACTACTTCCTTTTTCACCAATTTCGTCCGTTCGGGATCGTTCTGTCAATTTGCTGGCATTTTTTCTACATTTTGTAGACTCGAGATTTTCAAGTCAATATATTTTAAGTTACTTGTTGTGTCCGAAAAGTAATTGTGTGCTGAAAAGCCTTTTCTTGACCTGTGGATTTCTCCCCACAGAAAGTGCAAGTATAGAATTATTTGTTATCTATCTTTTGTTTGTGGAAAAGATTTTATTTGCTAAAAACGATAAGCTTATTTTGTCTTTATGGCTTGAGTGCTTGGATCTCTAAGATCTGGTCCTGCTCTCGCTCACTCCATTGAGACGCAGATCACATAAGAACCTTTAAAACAGAGAAATACCCTCATTTTCGAGCGAGTTCCCTTTAAATTTATACTCTGATTTTTGAGAGATACACTACCTTCTATCCTATGTCACCCGCGAAGCAGGGAGCACAAACCACAGAAGACTTTTCGAAATGTCCTTCGCGTATGAGCAAGAAATACCCGTAAGCGTAACCTAGAAAACCAAAAGGTGTTCTAAGATATGGAAATTGGTTCTTATTAGTAACAAACGCAAATACCCTGTTTTTAGTTTTGTAGCATACTCTTTTTTTTAGAGTGTGGTTAGAGTGACAAACTACTAATGTGTCAGAGATAGGTTCAATCCTTACTTCTGACGTTATTATTATTTTTTTCGTTTCTGTTGACAGTTTACTGGCCGTTTTTAATGTCCTAAATACCGTCTATTTTACGCAGACCATTTTACCGCCGTAAATTGGTAGTTCAAACTGTCTGAAAATTGCCTATTTACAGCCAGTAAACCGTCTTTTAACTGTCAAACTTCTCATGGAAATTCGATATATGAGAACGCAGTTTACTGGCAGTTGAAAAACTACCCATTTATGGTGCTAAAACCATTCCATCCGAACCATCAAAAAACCACCTAAAACTTAAACTGTGTTAACTGTTTAAACGATCTAAAAACGGCCAATAAACTGCGTGTTAACTTGGCCATTTTCAATGTTCTGGGTAGAAGGAAGAAGATATTGAGAGTTTCGATGTAAAGCTGTTTTTGACTATGTTTGACTCACAATCCATTGCAACTGCATTGTTGTGCTCTTACGACATCCACCGGATTCATCATACTTTCAAAATTATGTTTTCAAAACTGTACATAAAATTGTTACCAGTAACACTCTCGAATGTGCCAGCAGATGCTATATATGTAACAGAAGACGGAGGCTTCTTTTTCTTATGATGAAACATGATCGAACTGTTTTTTGTTGTCACCTGTTTATCTGCTGTAGAGTAAATGATTGCCAAAGAGTACTACAATAGTCTTTATTCGGATTTAACTTCTGATTACTTATACATTGTATACTCCATATTATTCCGCTTTTTTTCTGTTTGTAATTGTGAAAAAATGTGCGTTGTTAAAGACTTTAATCGGAATAAAAGGGAATAGAGAACTTTTCGTAATCTTACTTTAACGACCAGAGTCATGATCCTTAAAACACAATAGTTTTCTCTCTTTTTATTGCATGATCACCTGTAAAGTTGTGCGCTGGAATACCTTATAGATGCAATGCTTCATTGTCGGACTGACTTTACTATTCATCTTACTTTAGATAATTAAGAATATATTCACCACTTTTCCAGAAATGAAATAAAATGAACGATTGTATTTTCTCTTTTCGCGTTACGTCTATGGACGCTTTCTTTATGATGTCAGTCAGAAACACTATATTGGACTGAAAACAAAAATGGGTGTCATTCTTTACATTCTGATGGACGCTGTGAACAATTATATTGTCGAATCAAGAAAGTAAGTGTATTTTCTTTTGTGTACAAACTACTCAAGGCGAAGCCATGTAGATAAACTGTACATAGTCTAGACATATGATCTTGGTTCAACATCTTTGTTGACGAAATCTATTGTCTTTTTTCCATAACCAAATAGCGTTTGACCATTGCATTTCTTTTGTTAATTTTCAGCAAAGACAATATTGATATAAGGTTTATTCTTTCAGAATACAAGTGGAAAATAGTCCATTATCATATTCTAATACAATATTTTTAATCAAATAGAGTAGTTTGTCTGATACGATTGTTTTACTTATGTTACCATCAAAATGCCTCAACGCGATAATGAAACTACGGTAGGCTTGTCGTATAACAACAAGAGTATGCATAACATACAAAAGTTTTAATCTTTCTTACACAGATAAACCCTAATGAACTTTGTGATTCTGGCAAAGAAGAAAAAAAACGCATCAAATTTGAATGTACACAAGTGTTGACGGTAAGCATCATTAAAATAAACGTTTTCAAACCACTCATCTAAACGTAGTCTTTTTAAGGAAAATCATAAAAAGCCAATTTATGCGGTTGCTGTTAATCAACATCAAACAAGTGATGGAGGACTTTTATTTGCAACGTCTGCAGGGAATGAAATTCATATATATAAACATGCTAACGATGGTAGTATATCAATAATTCAAACATATGTTGATGCGAATGTATCCTTTTTTAAATAAGTAAACATACGCTCTGTAACTCTTCGTTTGTGAATCCTTAATCATGTAATGACAGGAAGAAGTTGACGAATATTATAATGATTGCAAATGGACAATGTTCAATGATGCTGAAAATGTGTGTGTTGTATTAGTAGCTGGCGGAAAAAGCGGAGTGGTGAGAGTAATTGAGGCTACTCGCACACGCCATTTCAAACCGGTAAGCTACGATTTGTTTCAGTGACATAAGTAGGTGTCATGCTACTTTTATGTACGTTACAGCTACACCATTTTGGTTCAGTGAATCAAATGGCATTTGCGTCTCATCAGCCAAAGTTAATGGTTTCGGCATGTTCAAACTTAACCGTTTATTTATGGGATGTAAGTGTAGGATTATGTTTATCAACATTCTTCGGACCATATCGTCACTACCAGCAAATACTGAGTGTTGATATAAATCATGATGGTACACTCGCTGCCTCTGGAAGTATGGATTGTTCGGTTTGTATTTGGTCAATAACAGAAACGCGAACATTGAAAAATATTCAATTAGCTGAAACTAAGCCACAAAATTCAAAAGAACATCGGTACTAATATATTTTGTTTTTTAAAGTTTCTACTATTTTGTAAGCGTTTATATTGTTCTTTTCTTTTAGTCTTATGAAACCACACCGTGTACATGTTCCTCTATTTCTAACGTCAACATTACATGATCATTACGTAGATTCTGTAAAATTTTTTGATGAAATTATGATAACAAAGGTATTTTTTAAGACACAATAAAATAATATATTGGCATTTTCAGTTTTTAGTCGGCCGACAATACATTTTGTATTTGGAATTATGATTTGAAAACGAGTAAGACTGATGCAAATGTATTTTTCAAGTGGAAACAACATGATCCGTCACCGGATATTTTATTTGATATACGCTTAGGAATTAGTTCCATGGAAAAAGTACGTATCGCATGCTTGTCTCTGTTTTTGGAGTATGATTTTTTTATACATTATGAATCTATTGTTTATTTTAGTTGTTAGCAATTGGTCGGATTAACGGGAGTATACAAATTTGGAATTTAGCAACTCTTGCTGAGAAACATTATGAGTTAGTTAAATTTCACAATTTATTAATGATAAGCTAAATGTTATTTTATTTTAGACCGATTACACTGATGTATTCTCAATCAAAACGATTAATTCGTGAAGTTTCATTCACATCCGATGGACGAACATTGTTTGCATGTAATGAAATTGGTCAAGTGTTCATTTGGAAAATGGTCTCTTGATCTATTATTGTTTTTGAATTCTAAATTTTCTTTTCAATATTTGTGGATTTTCAAATATTTTTCTAATCATGATTTACATAGAATGATTTATAATATATAAATGAGTGACAATTATAATCAATAATTTGTATAAATTAATGTTGAATAAAAAAATGTTCACGATTAGTAAAAATCGTACAAGTGTTTTACACTTACAAGAGTATTCATAAGAAAAGGTGATACGTTTAGAAAAAACGTTACCTTATCAGGGGTCCAGTCAATCTGTTAACTGATCAATCGCTCGACAAATATTTATCTTTTGTCTTAAGTAAAGAAGTCTAAGATAGTTCTTAAATAAAAATGTTTGTATCTTTTAAACTTACCAGGCGCTTGGTACTAAAAGTCACTTCAAACATTGTACTCATTCGTCCGCTGTTCTTTAGAAAATTATCATGATATATCTCTATGGTTAGTGTAATTGTGTATTTTTTTGTAACGAAATTGTAGGTCATAAATTCTAGATATATGGACAGTAGATAGTGGTTGAGTTTTTGTTTTTTTGTTTGCTACGTAAAGAACAAAAAATAAATTCTCTTTTTTTTTCTCTTGAATAAAACTTGTTATATAATAAAAAAGAGAAGATAATATGATTATTGGGTGTATGTCATACAGGTGATATTATAACTTAGTATAGATGGTAATTTTTGGACTGACGTACAAAATTGGAATAAACAATATTTCATAATGAATCGTATATACTATTTTGTTGCTATTTTTCTACTAAAAATTATTGGTCATAACATGATGGATGAACATTCAGTAGATGAAGATATATTTGAAACAAGTATTGGCGAACTAACTAGTAATGATCATGTTTCACTTGAATCATTAGATGAAACGTATAAAATTCCATTATTTCAAACACGCTATGTTACAATTTCAATTAAACAATCTCATGTTACTAAATCAGATGCAATTCAATTAAGATTTCAAAGTGTAGTATCAGATAAAAGAGTTATTCAGATACGAGAAGTAGACGACAGATTAGAGAATATTGATTGGATAAAAGATTTAGATAGAAGATCAAAAATGTTCACAATGACATGGTCAATCAAAAGTATCTATATGGATATGACTACTGTTACATTCAAGTCTTTTCTTTTGTATGACAATCAAACAGTAACCTCGAAAACGTGGAATATTACAATACTGGTGTCACAGCCTAAACGTGTCATAGATAAAATTTGGTTTATGTCATTACCGTTTCTAATTGTTTTTATATCTGTACAAATGGGTGTTTTGTTAGACACATCGGTTATTAAAGATATTGTTAAAAAACCCACACCGCTCATCATTGGGTTCGTTGCTCAATACGGTTTAATGCCTCTATTAGCTTACAGCATTACAAAAATATTCAGATATACAGCATTGCACGGCTTAACATTGTTTTTAATCGGTTGTTGTCCAGGTACGAATTAAATAGTTTTTGACCAAGTTTTTTTGTTTCAATAAACGTTTCGGAGTTTTCTTTAGGCGGCACGGCTAGTAATCAGTGGACATTATTGTTTGATGGTGATGTTAATCTTTCAGCTGTGATGTCCTTTACCAGCACCTTGGCTTCATTCTTTATGATGCCGTTATGGTTTTATACACTTGGAAATTCGTATTTACGTGAATTAAAATTACATATTCCATTTCTAGGACTGTTGAGAACATTAGCCACTATTGTTGTTCCTTATACTGTCGGAATTTTGATTTCACATTATTCACCAAAGACACGAAATTTAGTGAAAAAAATTGTTAAACCCATGATGTTATTTCTTGTAATATTTTTTCTTGTCTTCGGGACATTGGTGAACTGGTACATGTTTAAAATGATCGATCTTTATTCAGCGTTGACAGCACCGTTACTTCCATGGATTGGCTTCCTTCTTGGAGGTCTATTAGCGTTGATATGTAGACAAGATTGGTCGCGTGTTAAAACAATTGGGATCGAAGCTGGTATTCAGAATGTTGGTATCGCGTTTATGGTAATCATGTATTCGTTTCCTCAACCTCAGGCCACACAGGGATTAGTTGTACCACTTGTTGTTGCTCTATTGACGACAAAACCATTTTACCTGGCGCTTCTAATCCGTCATTATGTAAAAAAACATCAGAAAAAACAAGAAATAGAAATGTCAGTTGTTGATGGAAATGGACATGTGGAAAAGACACTGTTAGAAAATAAGGAGGAAAGTAATTCTGAGAAAATACATCCAGAAGAAGTTAAGACTTTCATACATAGCTATCAAGTAGCTTCAGCATGAAACTTGACTATATCATGAAGATGCAAATAGCTTTTGAGAAGTTGTATAAAAATATATGTTGAAATATTGTTTAATCTGTAGAAGTTGTTAGTAACATCCTTCACATCAATTTACGAGAAAAAAATGATAAAAACTAGAGCGCAAATACACCGTGGAACTATTTGATATGGCTTTTCCGTTTTGATCTTCTGGTGAAAAATAACGCCGTTTAAACAGAAACTTAATTTAGCTAAACTTATCACACGAGAACACAATGAGCATTCATGCAAACATTTAGCAAAAAAATGAAGATACTCCCTTTTGTAGTGTCTTTATATAAGAATAAAGCACAAATTTAGAACTACTTTTTCCCTCAAATAAAAGTTTTTTATTTTCATTGTGATGACAGAAATACTCAGAGTACAAAAAAAGAATAAAAAATATTATAAATGATAAGGTTTAAACTTTTTACTGATCACCGCCGACAGCTTACCGTGAAGCCAACTGAGTTATATACAAGCGTTTAAATTAAAGTTTATATACTGTATGGAGAAGTGGTACTCTGTTACCATGGGAAAAAGAAAGATAACACGCTGTAACAATCAACTGCACACCTCTGCGATGGTGAAACTCTCCCATCTGGTATAGATATGGAAGAAAGTGAGCGGATAGATTTATTAGAGAAAAAGAATAATAAAAAGACCATTGACTGCTCTCAATTATATAAGCACCATCATTTCATCTAGTACAGTTATCCAGAAAAAAGCTTTCAACGGATTAACCAAAGTCAATTAATAATAAATAAGATTATTGCAGTCCAAGTATACCACTGAACGTGGAATAGAATGTTCACTATGTCAGCAACAACTGCAGCTGAACATAGTTATAATGAAGAAACGGAACTCATTTCAAATCTATTTCGATTCATTCGATCTGTGATATGTTGAATAAGCTTTAACTTAGAAAAATTATACAAAAACTTCGTTTCTAGGCTAGCTATTGTATTTCAAAGGAGAAAATTGGTCAAAAAACGATCCTAAAAGTTGATTAACCTCTCCATCTCATTCGTCAAAGACTCTATGTTCGCTAAAACTTCATGCAGCCTGTTTCTACCAATGAGTCCACTGTTGGCTGCTATCTAGAAACGCTAAATACTGAAAAAAAAATACATATCATTAATAATTGAAATAATTTTCATGAGTTATCGACTATTCTAAATTCAATCGAAGAACAATTTCCTTTAAATTGTTTTGTAATAGATATTATATTATCTATATACTATCTATTTCCAAATAGAATGCAGCCCATTGTTTTTGAATCATTTTCGCTAGAAAAGAGACAGAAAGCTGCGATTTTCAGTTTTGAAGAGAAATGTGGGGGCTATGATACTACGGGAAAAAAATAAGTTATTCATCAAAAAGATTTTCCAGAAAACCTTCTCAGATTCAAAGTTTAAGAATATGTTTCTCTTACTTTCTGGCAAAGCCATCATGAAGATCGTTCCGAATTGTCGCTATACTGGAATTTCGAGCTAGTATGGATGTATTTTCATCGAGTTATGAACCTTTTAGTTTCCACCGTGCATAGCCGTTTTTAGGTATTTTGTGTTTCACGGCTGTACAGTATTTTCCTGGAGGCTCATAGTAAAACAAACATCTTGAGATCCAGCGTAGTCGATAATAGAGATGTGCATGGTAGCTGTTTCTGGAGCCATGGCCCTAATTTGCGAAAAACTGTTGTACCCTCCCTCTACCCTGGGATACCGGAAACCTGGCCCTACCCTACCTTGTGGTTTCAGGTGGTCTTAGAGCTCCGGCCTTACTCTAAGATATAATTCGTTGAGATTTATCAGACAAAGCCCACACCCTACCCTGTGACTTCAAGTGATATTAAAGCCCGAGCCCTAGCCCTAACCTGCAGGGGAGGGGAGGGCAGGATAAGGGCGCCCTGCACATCTCCGGTCGATAACCTATGCATACATTCATTTTTAATGTTCACAACCCTAAAGGTCACCGAACCGGGATTCTCTGGAGCATCTTTACCACGGCCAAGCATTGATAGACGGAGACGTTGGAGTTGCGCTGTTTATTACAGCAATGTCTGGTGGTTCAATTCTACTCGTAAGCATTCAAAATCCGAAACTTTTTTAGTGCAGTGAAATCTTCTTCAAAATGTCTCTGTCAGGTCTATCACCTGCAGATGGTAATTCTTTTCCTCATAGTATCATAGCCCCAACATTTCTCTCTTCAAAACTGAAAATCGCAGCATTCTATCTTTTTTCCAGTGAAAGTTATCAAAAACGATGGACTGCATTCTATTTTGAAATGGATAGTGCGTGAGGTTCGAAAGATATTATTTGCATCCAATATTATATCTGACTTTTTCTGTATGCTACTGATCATTATTATTTTCTGTCTCTTAAAAGCGCTGTAAAAATATCAGATTACATCAAGTCATTTTCTTTTGGACATTGTATAAATAAATTGTAAATTGTAAAAGAGGAGTATCTATAATCTGGTTGTATAAGTTTTCGATATTAAAATAATCTACGAATAGAAAAAATAAATATGTTCTCCTATTTTTCCGAATAATAGTCAGACAGTAGTAGGGTGAGGCAACTAAGAAAAAAACAAAAAGTGTAGCAGAGAACAATTGTATCATGAATAACTTAGCCTTCTGTTCGTCGTCTGACTAAAAAACACTGATTTAGCGTCTTTAGACTTGATGTTCGCATATTGTACATGGTCATCAAATCAAGTGTTCAATTATTAACTGTACCGCCAGTAAAAATCGAATATAGCTGATAGTTTTTCAAGATTTTGTTTTTATTTTTAAACTGAACGATAGTCACGACGGACAGTGAGGAAATACTGTCTTACTGTGTAACTAAAGTCATAGTTCATGTATGTGGACTACTCAATGAGAGAAAAGTTAGCAATCTCTTAATTTTTTGCATTTTTTATCTACTCCTCTAACATCAACATAAAAAGGTAAATAACTTTGAAACGGTGTACCGAGCTGTATTCTTCGCATCGATGTATGGAGAATACCGTCCATATACCGAGTAATTTCAGATTACACCGCGGTAATCAATAGTGTTTTTGAGAATCATAATTTATCGGCGCTACTAAATAAAAATGTTTGACATGGGGTAGGAGTGGAAGCCACTGCTAGTTGTTATAAATTCCTATATTTAAAATTGAGTTGGAGAAAAGCACTATGCAAATCAAACATTTTTAGCATTTTTCTTGATTATTTTTCTTATGTTTACTTCATATTGCAGGCACATTGGAATTGTTTTAAAAAATGTGGATCTCTAGCAGATTTTCCCCCTCCGAACTAAAGAGGCATAAAAAAATATATCAAAAAATACCTGAGTGTATTTGTATGTAATATATGTGGTAAAAATTCCAATCTAATCAGATAAATTTTTAGGATCATCTTTACGAAAAACATAATTTTCTAGAGAACCATATGTAATAGTGATTCTCATTCTCTAGACAAATATTGTATTTATTTTGCTTTTTTTGAGAACATATTTTAGTCAAGATTCCCAGTTTCTGTCACTCTTTGTTTCGACACTGTAATAAGATCAGAATTAAGGGAGATATCCATAAGATTGTTGCAGTATGTAGAGAAAATTGTAAACATTTACAGAGTTGTACTTTCTGATCAAGGAATCATATTATTGCATGTAATCAGTATGATCATAAAATTGTCTCGGCAATGAGACCGTCAGTTGTGTGAGCGTCACTATCTTTCTGGGTGATTTTTTCTTGTATGAGTTCATCATCCATGCGTAATGGATAAAATATCTCGAGGTATTACATACGCATATTATCTTCAAACGAGTCTATCAATTTTTTCTGTGTTTATTGTTTAAATGAACAAAACTTGTAAGCTCATAGATTTTTCCTGGACGAACTTCATTTTTTTAATCAAGACGATGCCTCTAACATTAGTTCTTATGAATATACTTGCATACGAGCACGTATCCAAATACTCTCTCCCGTTTCTGAGATTTTTTGCAAGAAAGTTAAGTACTTAAATTTACTTTATCTTTTTGTCAAGTACTTAGTTAGGCGCTTGCTCAAAATTACGCGAGTATCTGTGAGAGATTCATCAGGTATTTGAGACTAGATATTTGGACTTGTAATTACTAAGTGACACTTTACGAAAATACTTGCTGAGTTGAAAGTACATTCACTGGGGAGGTTTTCAACAGTCGACCATCAATTGTTTCATGCCTGTGAGACATTCTCCTCCTGGAAAAAAATCGAAATTTTTACAAAGTCTAATGGAACAAATACATTTAACTATACTGATCAATAAACGGGTTTTTTCGTTGGGATAGTGCACTTGTAATACATACATAGTAGCATTTTTGCTCGATTTATGAATCAAAATGTACCATTGCTACGAAAAAAAACACATCCTTATCTATTCCAAGTAGACATTAAAATAAAAGTTGCTCTTTCAGAAAAATCTTCAAGAAATATATATAATATTTATGAAAATGAGACGTACAAAACCTTTTTGAGTAATTAAGCTGAGTCATGTAGCCCTGGTGTGTTTTATAAGGCATTATTTGAAGTTACAGTTATGACATGTTTCTTACCTTTTAAGTCGATTTTTTCTCACAAATGAGCACAGAGGGAGTCAAACTGCCAATCTAAAAGGAGCTAAGTTTCTATTCTGTAATCAGCTATTAGGATAATTTTAGAAAAGTAATTATAAAAAATTTCATTATTTTTCATTTTTCTTCATGTCAATTTAATATTTACTGTTTTATTACTCAAAGTATTCTTCCAGCTGTGACATGAAAATTTAAATCTAAAGAGTGGGCCAGAATTACTGAAACGTTTCAGTAGTGATTAGTAGTCGATTCGTTTCAATAATTCTGGTCCACCCCTTTATATATATTTTCTTTTCCATTTGTCCTCTAACGTGAGAAGTGATCAGAACTTGTGCTGGATATGTTGTTGTTCATTTGAACAATATAAAAAGAGATATGGTAGAAA